TAAAAGATGAGGTTGTAGGAGACTACTTCTAAGAGAGAAAGATTTTGCTACTTGTTTTTTTATTAAACAGTACAAATATATGTTATATCTAGCTATCCCCATGCTAGCAGACTACTAGTGAGAATCACTTGAATTAACAGAGATATTTAACAATTTTTCTTGCTTCCGCTACTACTTTTTTGATAGTACCTAAGAATTATTTCTAGATAATATGGCTAAAAATAGCTTGCAAGGAAGATATTCGCCCACAATATGTCATAGAACATTTAGAAAAAAATATTGTTATCTGTATAATAAAAAAGTATTTTTGCAGATCAGGTTTTCTTTTCAAAAAAAAGTGGTCAGAGGATCGATAGGAAAAGTTGATGAAAAAAAAACAAATAAAATGTCTAATTAAATTATTTATATAATAGTAATATATGTATTTATTATTTTATTTAAATTGCATATTAATATTACCTAATAGTTGACCGACATGTTGGAGATGATCATCATTACATTTGCATACATATAAAAAAAATTAGACTAACATATAGTAAAAATTCATAAAATTTTATATTTTTTTGGATTTGGAAGCTATTGAAACGTTGTACGCAGCTCTTCTTTGGATAAGACATTCTCGTAACTTCTTACGAACGACTATATAAATTTTGTCTCTGGTTAAAAAGGTAGTTGAAAATAATTTTAAGCTTGAAAGTAGTGATTAATCTTGAAATTAACTAGTGTGCTAATAGAGAAATTCACTAACTGTAGATTCTCTTTTTTTTAGATTTGCATACTGAAAACATTATACGTTGCTACCTTCATTTGTAAAAGTCCTGCGGCATTTATAAATGGCTGCACAATCTCGTAAGTGGCTAAAAATAGCAAATAATCTGACTTGAAAGTAGCGTTTTAAATGTGAAATTAACTGCTAAAGCTTTTTTTCTTTGTAGGTTAATTATAGATGCAGTAAAACCTTCCTAAGTGCACCTCCCTTAGAACCATAGTAAAAAAGAAGCAGAGCGTGCACTTAAAGAAAGTGTCATTTATAGTAAGCAAAATATATATGCTCTTATAGATCGTGACCAAGCTATGCAGTGCATTTAGAGAATTTACATAAAGTGTGTACTTGTAGAGTGTGCACTTAGGAAGGTCTTACTGTAGTTACGTATTACTGATTTTCAGCTATATATTCTACGAACGTCAGTACTGTAGGCAGTTGAACTTTAATCGAGCTATAATATGGTGTTGGAGTATGAAATTAATTAATCATCATATAAGTTTTATTTTTATTATTTTCCTTTTTTTTTGTTTTGTGGGCTGCTAAAGCGTTGCTTACTTAATCTTGGCTTTTTCTTGGTATTCAGGGCTTCTTGACATCATTTATGCATAGTAAAAAGGTCTTTAGATAAAACGTTCAAGAATGGTGTAAGTGTTTAAAAAGGAAAATTAACTAATTATAGTATTTATATACGGTTTAATATTGGCTTTTATTATTATTATTATTATTATTATTATTGGTATTCAGAGCTTCTCAGCATCATTTATGCATATTAAAAAGGTCTCTAAATAACAACGTTCAAGAATGGCGTAGGTAAGTGTTTGAAAAGTAAAATTAACTAATTCTAGTATTTATACATGGTAATTCAAGTAGTAGCACTAATAAAACTATTAATTATTTCAGGTTTGATAAAAATTTCTTGGTAGTGAGGGCAAATCTAAAGGATGTCGCCAAGGAAAATCAGACTTTGATCATATAAATTTTATATGATCGAAGTCTGATTTTTCCTTAGTACCATCCAAATACTTTTTACTTTTTTAATTGATTATGTGAGGTGTTCTTGTGATATAATTTACTGTTTTTGCTTTATTTTTATCTTAAAATTATATTTATTATAATTAAATATTAATAAAGCATACTCTTAAAAGTGTAATTTAAATGATTTTATACGTCGTTCGATTTGCAACCATGAAATATTTGATTTGTTACAATTAGAGATTAAAAATATTTATTGATGTATCATTATAATTAATATTTATTTATGTAATTGATTAAATAAATGTTTTGCACTTAAAAAAATTTGAAAAAATGATAATGCCAAGATGTATGGTTGAGCTATTTTTTATTTTGTGTTCAAACTTAATAAAAGTCGTCTAATTTGCCAAAATACTTGTTTAAATATTAATCTAATGTATGGCCGAGCTATTTTTTTTTTTTTTTTTTTTTTTGTATTCAAACTTAATAAAAAGTCATCTAGTAGAAATTCGAATTCGCCAAGATGCTTGTCAAAATATTAATTTAAGGAATTTTTTAAATAATAAAAAGCCCTCACTTCACCTCCATTTCGTTAATTAAACATTTTCAAATCAAATTAATAACTTAAATAAAAATATCTTTATCACATTATTATCAAAAAAATGAATATCAATTCTCCACATTCTCAAGAGTCCTTAACTCTTCACTACAGCCAAGAAGAATCAGAAGAATATTTAGTGGATATTGAGACCATGACTCCACCAGATGATAAAAACTATGATGACGACCCAGTGTTTGACTTTGAGCAAAACTTGTATGAGCAAGCCTTAGTTTCAGCAGAACTTAAAGATGATCCATGGAAAGAATTTAATACGGAAGACATACAAATTTGGCAAGAAGTAAGCTTCGAGGAAACTAGCGGTAAATATACTGAAGAGATTCCTACGATTATAACAAAACCAACTACGCCCTGTGTCATAATCGATAATGAACATGGAGAAATACGCCGCTGTAATAGAGCTAGTGTTAAAAGATTGCAAGAGTTAGTAGATGTCTGGGAAATTGATATAGATGCCGTCAATGATGTTAACAAACAACTTCATCTTCTTGGAGTATGCACAAGACATTTTAATTATGATCAAAATACTGTGCATAGCAAAAATTTAAAAAAGCAACGCTTCACTGACGAAAGTAGAATTAATTGTTGTATTTGTTTTTTCTGTAATAAAAAAAAGGTCTTTTTTAGTCGCGGTACAAGTTGTATAGAACATACACGAATTGTATATAATCAGACACTGCAAATACCTTGTCGTGGAATGGTTTTATGTTCAGCAATTGACAATAGCTCATATACAGAAAGTACCTATAATTCACGAGGAGTTCGCTACGTATGCTGTCAATGTTATGAAAAGAATGGAGGGCATTTGCATATACGAATAGGTTCAGGAAATAGAACAGACCTGGGGTGTATTGCAATGCATTCAGCTGATACTGAAACTGCTCTTCTTCACTTTTCAAGGCTAATTGAAACGGTGGCATATTCAGAAAATGATAGATTAAAAGAGCATTTACTTCAAGCTCTTTTTCCATGTCTAGAAAACTTTAACTTAGATTTACCTTCTTCACAACCTAGTAAATTACCTAGTTTGTTTGTAGTTAATACAGCTTTTAAAAATAAACAGTTTGATTTTTCTAAACAACAATTTACACAAAAACCTAAGAAATATGAAGAATTTGGAAAATCACTTGCTCTTGAAGTTTTAAGATCACGCTCCAGTTTGGATCCTTACAAGTTAATATTGGAAAGTCCAGACACTTTACAACAGTATTACGATACAATACCGAAATGTCTAACAAGCTTCTTTGATGGATTAGTTCTTACTTTACAACTACAAAAATATGAAATTGTTAGACAAAAACGGAAAGAACGTAAAAGCACTATAGTTGAGTTTGATAAAAGCGAAGTAATAAAAAGTACAGCCTTTTTGTCTTCTATAATTTTAACTCTCACGTTTAGAGGTTGGAAATTTTGGCTTTCACAAGCTATTGGATCTTTCTGTAAACGGCCGAAACTTGCAACATATTTGCGTAGCATCTTTCGCGCAGCAAATGTGGTGGCATATTCGAAAGACTATGAAGTGAAAGTCTGAAAGAAACGCATGTTAGAAGCAAATCCACAAGAAAGGCTGAAGTCAGGACCAAATATTTGGAATTTAGCTGTAATAGACAATATCGATTTTAAAGAAAAAACATTTAGAGCTGGTAATTTGTATGATGATACAAGAGATACAGCCCATGCTACCTTGCGTATAGTTTTCCAGTTTGAAATGCCTGATCTTGATATTACACCTTCACCAGTTGGTCTTGATGTTGATCTATGCGGAAAAAATTTATTCATAAAAGAATGGATGAAGAAGCTTTCTCAAATTTTCAAACAATTGATTGCAGAACATCCAATAGATTTTGCTATGAATGAAATAAATGTCGTACTCAAACGAGAAGTAGGAAATGGATGTAAAGTTTCTCCGCCAACTGTTGTTATTTTAGAAGCTGGGCCTGCACCAAACAGCAATCTTGCAGCTCATAAAACTTGTGAAATGTACATAGAAGACCTGAAATTAAATCAAGAGGACTCTCTAGACATTGCATGTGATGAAGCTATTTTTCGCAGACTTACGAATTTTTCTCATAATCAACTAAAATTAAATCCTATTCTTGGTCAGTGGCATACGAGTAAGGCCATGTGTAGTGTTCTAATTGCTGCTTTCTCTAGATATGGATTATTTGACTTAGCATCTAAACTCAGCGTAAAGTTTTTAGAAAAGCTTCAAGATGTTGTTAATTATCGCGCAACATTTCATGTTCTTGAACTTATCTGAGCAGCTATAGCAATTGTAATTCATAAGTATATAGATGATTATAATATAACACTGGATGACATTGAAAATGAAAATAATAATGTTTTAAAAGTTTGGTTTCTATATTATCAGTGGGTGGGATGGCTCAAGCTTCATAAAATTAGCATTCGGATAGGTAATTTTGAAGTTCAACATGAACATTTGAAGGCTTTTGTACCGTTATTTCCTATCACTGAAAAAAATAGATATGCAGAGTCAGTACCACGGTTTTTGATGACAGTAGAAATAAACCCAGTACTGAAAGCAAAACTCCAAGTGGTTGGATCTATAAACCTTACTGCAGATGAACATTATTTCGGAATTGATGAAGCACTTGAGTATTTCGGTGTAAAATTCGTCAAACAGAATATGACCGGCTGTGCAACTAATCTAGATAATTTAAAATTAGTAATTAAGGTAGCGCAAAACGAAAGAGACCGATTGATGACACTATATGCAGAATATGTAAATGATAATTGTATTAGTAAAACTACACATACAGAGATTAACCGTAAGGAGGCATTGTGGAAACTAGTGGAAACGCTCTATAAAGCTATTACCTCTAATCAACCCAAAAAGCATTCATTGTTTAAGACTGCTAATCAGCTAATACTAAGTGAATATGAACGTATTTTTACCTGTTATAACAAAGGTGTAATTAGAATTACGAAAATTGTTAGGCAAGATATCTTGTAGCTAGAGAAACGTGATACAAAGGGATGAGCAAAAAAAGATATAATACCATACCTCATCAGAAAAAAAGCTGCCCGAAGTAAAAAAAAACGAAGCATGGAAGAAATGGCATAGGTAACTTATAAATGATATCTAACAAGTATATTAGATAGTTCATTACTTTTTGTTATATTTTAACCAGGTTCTAACGATCTTAAAGTAAAGTAGTTTATTGTAGTTTGAAAATTCTATATAAAATATTAAATTAAAAAAAAATTATTATTAATAAAACGTATAAAGAACTGTAAAAGGACAGTTCAAAGAACATTTCACCGAATCTTATATTTTCCAAATCCCACCAAATGACTGGCTTGTCCTAATAGCGATCCAAGTTCCGGACAATATTTATTAGCACTTGCCACCACTAAACCAAAAAATCTTTTTAATACTAATTTCCTAACTCTCTCTTCTCTTGCTGCAGTTTTTAAATGTAGCACGATCTTCTTCTATATGTTACTTTTCCTAAAGCTGTAAAGCAATACCTAATAAAATATATTTTTTCTGAAAGCTCGTGTTTAGCACAACCTTCTTAACTACTTTTTATTCACTTATCTTATATATTTAAAAATAATCTTGAAAGGGAAGAAAAAACGTTTAGTGATTTTGAGATACCAATTATTTTAATAAGGATCACTTAAAATTGACCATGCAAACTACTATTCAATTGTATAAAATATATCAAATAACTTTTCTTAAAAGTGCAAAATATGGTTATTAATAAAAATCGAATAATTATACATATTATTAAAAAACTTGTATTATGTATTAAGCTTTGGAAATTTATAGTAGATCAATTTTGTACGACATGTCAGTTAACTGCTAAGGTGATATTTTTGTTTCCAGCTAGGATAGCTATTTTGTCTGACCAGAATGAATCATATGTCTATTGATTCTTTAAGAACTTCTGTGTGTTTTCATTATTAAGATTTGTTTTTTGTATCATTATTAAATCTAAGTTATAGAATTTTAAAAGTGTTAATGTCTTCTGTTGTTTGCCTTAATCATTTAGTCCTTTTAAATTCAGTGTTGAAATTTTGATTTTGTGTTTCAGAGGCATATGAATGCAAAGATAATCTTGATCTAATTAGATCTGAGAGGAAAGCCCCTTATTTCATTGTTTTTTGTAGGGACTAGGTCTAGATTGGTTCTTATCTTGCACATTTTTTTCTTTTTTGATTTTGTCTTTTTTTCAAGTAGTTGTAAACTGTTTCTCATTATCAATATCTATTTCAGGTATTATCTCAGCTGCACTTTTAGTTCCTAGTGCTAGCTCTGTAATAAAACCTAAAGTAGTTAGTTCATCACGAGGTGCTAGCTCTGAGTTAGTAGGAGAATCTTCCTTTTTTCCTTATCTGCAGAGGAGTAGGATTAATATTTTTTTCTTGTGCAAGGATTTCTTTTTGCAAATCCTTCTTTTTTCATTATATGGAGTGCTTGAAGCAGGTTTGTTCTCTGCTAAGTCTGAGGTTTCAGCTAATAAGGATTTTTCTATTTCATTATCTTCTACCTCTGAGTTCTCGTAGCTTTCTTTGCTATAAAATTTGTTCTTTTTATAGTCTTAGTATTGTTGTTATAGGGCAACAGATTCTTGAAATGAATGATATTCTTTTTTGATATACCCTTCTTTTTCACAGAAGTAGCAAACTTTGGCTGCAAATCTCCATTCTGTTGTGACTTTGTTGTTCCAAATATAAGTAAATCTAGAGATTTTGTCTTCCAAATAAGGATCTTCTGTAGTTTCAAATATCAGGATCTACTGATCTGTTAGATAAGGTGTTTTCTCAATTAATAGAGGCTTAATTGATGCGATTTTTCCTATATCTTCAAAGGCTTCTTTGATTGTAGCTGATAAGGCCTCCTTATTGCCTAATAGGATATTCCTAATCTTGATTAGTAAGAATGATTTTCTCATATCCATTGGGATATACCCATAGTATGTTTTGTTAAGAATAGTGATCCCTTTCATAGCATAGTGATTTAATTTTTCTTGATCTGTAAAAATTATTTCAAGATAAGTATGTGTACCCTTAGTAAGGTGTTGTTTAGCTGCAATTATATCATATTTTATGTTCTTAAATAAAGAAGTCTTAATTTCATTAAAAGAACATTATAAGCTCTGTATATCAATAATGAGAATATTCTCATTTTTTGATCAGATTGTGTTTCTTGAGAAGAAGGAAGAGTAAGTTGACTAGTCTCTTTTGAGTTTAGAGAAGAGATTTGACCATTTTCTAGGTGTTGTTTCAGAAACTTTATTAAAGTTAGAGCTGGAGCTTCCTTCTATTCCTAGCTCTTTTTGTTTATCAGTTTCTGAGTTATGTGTTGTTGTTTTGTTCTCTTGTTCTTTGTTAGTATCTTGATTATTGTTTTTCTCTGTACATGTTGTTGTGTTGTTGTTATCTTTTTCTAGATATGAATTTTTCTCTTTTGACATATCTGTTTTGATTCTTTCTTTGATATTTGAAAAAGTATTAGTTACTTCTTTAAGCTTCCTAGCTTTTTGGTTTACTTGTTCGTTCTAGCTAGAGTTGCTTGTGTTAAGGTGTTCTGAAGAGCCTAAATTAGATTTTTTATCTTGTAGAAGCTTTGAATTGTTGTTGTTCTTTTTGCTAAAATCTACATTTTTTTTTTGGTTTTTTATCATTTTTTTAGTATTTTTTGTTTCACCAAACTCTTCAAAAGATCTTTTTCTTGTAATAAAGGTAAGTGCCCTTGTTTAGATACCTTTTTTAGATTTGTTTATCTTGACATTAGAGTGTATTTTGATATTCAGTTATTCTTTCACTCCAAAACTTATGTAGTCTGGAGAGAGTGTATGTAGATTATATGGAGATAATAGCTTTAAATAGATATGATTTTGATATAATTAATTGACCTGGATATGTGTACTCAAACATTGATCCACTAAGTAGAATACAACTTTAAAAAATAATACACTTCTAATTTATTAACTGAACATTACCTAGCAAATATCACTAACAGATACTTATATTAATAACAATAGATTATGAATTCAAATACATATTATATACTAGTATAATTTCTTGCTGATCATACCTTGTCTAATAATTTGAATAAGGATAAACAAAGGAAAATTAAAAACAAAGCTCAATATTTTATAGTAGTGAATGGACTACTCT